CCAGAGACTTGGTAAAGGCCCCGGACACCCCCACGTCCCCCAAGGCTCTCCCACAGGCCCTACTCAGCCCCTCCATCCTCCGGCTCCCAGCTCCCCGCTGGGCCCTCTGGGGCTTCATCCCGGAGGCGGGAGGGGGCGGGGACCAGGAGGGAGAGTGGGGGACAGGTGGAGTGGGAACGGTGGCACCGCCTCACCCCGCAGGCACCTTTCCGGCCCCAGCAGGACCCCTTTCCTCTGGAGCCCCCATCCCCAACCCTCACTTGTGGGAGGATCCTCATCTCTGCTTCCTTCCACACCCACAACACACCCCTCCGGTGCCTCCTAGCCCTGATGTTGTCCGTCCTGCCCACCCAGGTGCCCTGTCCAGTCCTGGACCCTCCAAGGACTCCCAGTCCTGGCACCTCGCCCCCACCCCCTTCCATCCAGGCCTTGTCCCAATTCCTCTGCTCCAGGCCCCTTCCCCCCACCACAGCCCAGCCCATCACCTGTCTGGGGGCCCTGCCGCCTCCTCCTCCTCTTCCCTCTGCGCCTTCTCAGACAGGTTGCCCAGGACCTCCTGGCTTCCTCTGGGCAGCACCCACTTTACCTCTACACCCGGGGCCATGAGGCTCAAGACCTTCATGGAGGGGGTGGTCTGGGCCCTCATGCCCCCCAGCCCTGAGGGATCACGCTGTGGTAGGGCCTCAGAGGGGGTGCGGTGCCCCTGGGCCGGCCGCCTGGGCTCCTTCCTCCCCGCTCGCCCCTGGCGGTCCATCAAGGACCCAGGGCGCGCCTCATCTCCCAGCAGGGTCCCCTCAGAGCTCTCCTGGCCGCCCGTGCTCCCCACCAGGCTGCGAAAGAAGCGGACCATGGAGGAGTGGTCCAAATTTTGAGACCGAGGGGTTGGAACTGGGCTTGCCATCCTGAGAGGGACCCTGACTCAGAGGGAGGGGCCGTAGCAGCCCCCCCAGGACCAACTGCTTAAGAACTGGAGGAGCTTTCAAATTAAAAGCTCCAGGAGTTCTAGAAGGCAAAGGGCAGGCAGGCGGGAGGCGGGGAGTGATGGGGGGATGTGGTGGGGGGATTAGCTGGGGGCAGAGAGGGCTGGGGGTGGCTGAGGCAGGAAGGAGGCCTGGGGAGCCAGCCTGCGGGTGGTTGGTGAGGAGGCATGTGGGTGGGGGGTGGGCAGAGGAGGCTTGGGGAACCCGGGCCCTGAGGAGGGGCAAGGGGTCTGGAGGACTCGGCACACCCTCTCTGCACCTGCTGGCCCTTCCCTGGGTGGCCAGAGGGCCCGCCCTTCTCTCCCCTCCAGGCACTCGGTTCACTTGGGTCCAGGGGGGCACACAGACCCCCCCCCTTGTTTTGTTTTGTTTCCCCCAGAGAATCCTTATTGAAACTTTCATTAAGTTTTACCATGAAACTGGACATACATGATGGAAAATACATACCATTACATGTCCTTCAGTGGTATTGCTCTATAGGGCACTGCTAATTCCAGGGGATCCTCCAGTATTTGAATTCGATGGCAGGGCTCATTTCTGTCCTCCAAACAGTGCCCGTTTTCCATTTGTTGGTAGGAAATGACGGATTTCTTTTGTTTTGTTTTGTTTTTATTTTATTTTTTTATTTATTTTTAAAATATATTTTATTGTTTTTTTCCAGAGAGGAAGGGAGAGTTAGAAACTTCGATGAGAGAGAAACATCGATCAGCTGCCTCCTGCACACCACCTACTGGGGATGTGCCCGCAACCAAGGTACATGCCCTTGACCGGAATTGAACCCGGGACCCTTCAGTCCATAGGCCGACGCTCTATCCACTGAGCCAAACGAGTGAGGGCTTTGTTTTGTTTTTAATATATTTTTATTGATTTTAGAGAGGAAAGGAAAGGAGAGATAGAAACATCAATGATGAGAGAGGATCATTAATTGGCTGCCTCCTGCATGCCCCCCACTGGAGATCAAGACTGCAACCCGGACATGTGCCCTGAACAGGAATCAAACCCTGACCTCATGGTTCATAGGTCAACACTCAACCATGGGCCATGCCCGGCCAGGTAGAAATGACGTTTTTATATATTTTGAACCAGCACGTGTACTTTTGACTCCACGCCAAGGTGCATCCATCTCAATCACTGATTTTTTTTAAACATATGTTTTTAAATACATTTTATTGATTCTTTACAGAGAGGAAGCTCTCCAAAAGGCTGAGTCTGCGTGAACCTCCTGTACTGAGGTGTTTTCCCTCTTTCCCATTTCTTAACTCAATGGGGCATGGCCGGCTATGTTTGCCTTTCAGAAAACAACAGCATGGTTTGGCTCAGTGGATAGAGCGTCCGCCTGCAGATTGAAGGCCTCCTGGTTCGATTCTGGTCAAAGGCACATGCCCCGATCCCCAGTAGGAGGCGTGCAGGAGGCAGCCAATCAATGATTCTCTCTCATCATTGATGTTTCTATTTCTCTCTCCCTTCCTCTCTGAAATCAATAAAAATATATTTTTAAAAAATTCAGCATGTGAGTTTCAACAGTGAAGAAACATTGGTTATTTTGTCCTGAAGTTCAAACTGTTTTTCAAAATATTTGAGCTGAGTATCTTTGGGACAAAACTGTAGTCCGTCAAAATCAAGTCCACATTCCCTTTTGCTACAACTTTCCCCTCTTGTTTTCAGCAATATTTAGCGACTCCATTAAGTAAATATTCTTTTCAAATTCATCACATCTTGAAGGGTGACATCCAATTGTATTGAAAAACATTTTAGCCCTAACCGGTTTGGCTCAGTGGGGTCCCAGGTTTGATTCCGGTCAAGGGCACGTACCTTGGTTGCGGGCGCA